GTCTATCACAGTTCGTATTATGTGGTTGTCTCCCTGGGTAGAATGTTCATCTGTAAGTTTCAACAACTTAAACTAAATTATTTTTCCTACAGAGTATTATCCCACTTAATTTTTATGTGCAACATATCAGGTGGCAAATGTCAGTCATGCTTGGTATGGCAATCTCCTTTTGTTTAGATATGATTTTTTTTCCCATGGGAAAAATGTGTGTGTGTGTGTGTGTGTGTGTGTGTGTGTGTGTGTGTGTATCTCCATTCATCACCACATTCTGAAATAGCTATGTAAAATGTCTTGACATTTTCCACCAAAAAAAAGCAATAACAAAAAACCCCAACAACTTTGGGATGAGTTCATGCCTGGAATGCTTTAGAAAAAAAAAATCACAGAAGATTATGTTTCAAAAGAGAGTGATGAATAATGGAAAGTATGAACTGTGAAGTTCTATTATATCAGTTGTATTTAGGTTAACCACATTTAATTTTTTTAAGCTCATAAATCCTTAAGAAATGTTAATCACATGATGGACTTGTTTGTAAATTTACATAATGCCCTGAAGGAGCCACCAATTTTTGTGTTGTGTGGTGACTCATGAGCATCTCTGGTTCAGGCTGCCAGGACTGAGAAAGCAAGCTGAGTAGTATGATCTTGTATGAACTGTGATTGAATTTCCAGTAGAGTTATCCTCAGGGCACTCCATAGCATTTTTTAACTCACTAAGATATGAAAATTAAAAAGACACTGATGTAGAGCAGTCTTTAAGCTTTGGATTTAGCATTGTTAAAAATGAAAATTATGCAGTCTAAGCATAAACACACTCTTAAACAGGAATATATTATGCTATATTTAAGCAGTAGTTGCCCACTATATTCAAAATAGTTATTGGAATAAATGCAAACAAAAAGTTTTTAGACGGTAAAGGCAAGTCCTTTTTATTAACAATATAGACACTACTATTTAGTTTCACTTTGAAATGCAAGTACCACCAACTTCAGTCAACAGAGAACTTCTGGTTCTCTTAGTATCAGAATTAACCTGCATACATATTGCATTTTAACACAACATGCATACATTTAAAAATTGTATTCTTAATTGTATGTCAGTGTAAAAACAAGCCTACAGTCAACTCAAAGCCCTATCATGTGATGCAGTCTGTTTTTTTTCTTCCATTGACAAGGCAATCAGTTTTAAGATATATTAATCCTATTAATTAGGATATATTTAGGATATATTTAATTAAAGTCTTATCAGTGATTAAATATATCATGAGTGACAACGGATGGTAGTAGAGACAAGTAAAAAATAAATGCTTAGGTTCCTATTTATCTGTCAAGTGTACTAATTTATCTACTGCCTGTAAGTGAACATCAGAAGCAATTTAATGGCATTTTAATAGAAGGAAGCTTTATAAAATACTGGCAGATGGTATTCTGGGTAATGATCCAGACTGCAATGATCTCAGTAATGACTTGTCGTATCTATTTACCTGGCCTCAAACAGAGGGGAAAAAAAAAGCTGGGCTAGACTGCTCTGGCACTGTAAATGTTTAAATCACTGAAGCAGCCCATTCACTTCTGTAGCAGGAGAAAATGTGAAATTGATTATAACGGTATTAATGCAGCAGGAAAATCTTCTTCCTCTGCAGCTTGTTTGGGAATGGAAACTTACCTTGTTCTCATGGTGCCTTTATTTTTCTGCTATTGCACTGCAGTGGACAATTTGGGTGAAATTCTGTCCTATAATGAAAAAGGATCTCGTAGTATCACTGGGTCACTCCAGCCTGCCTCGTCTGCTTCCACAAATAAGGGTAATGGGAGTAAGAAAGTCATGGGGGACTGTTGTGTGCCCATAAAAAAATCTTCCTGCTGTCTCACATTGACCTGGACCATGACATAGGCCTTACAATGAGTGTTTTTTCTCTTTCCTTTGCATCTCACAGAAGCAAGTTCAAATAGCTATTGTAAACCTCAAGGCGTACCTCCCGACTCTGTCACAGTTACAGAGTTTCTAGAGCCTGAAAAAAATTTGTGCCCTATAAAATTACATCTCAGATACTGAAAGTCCCATGAAAGGTACAATGTGAAAGGTACACTGCTGAAACAGTGTGGGGAAAGCTTGCTCATATATTGTATTGGAAATATGTGTCCCAATAATAAACAGGATAATCTGAATTTCAAAACTATCAGTTCATCACCGGTGTCATGTAGTATAAATGAGGGAGTCACTGCAACCTGCTCAGTCACTAGATGTGATGCTAAACAACTGCTTGTCAAAGCAGTCTGTTGTAGAGGTATAATTCTGGCTCTTTAGGTACTTTTAGATTCTCAGGAAGCACAAGTGACAAAGCAGCCCTATTCTGCATCAGTGTTTAGGTGAAGGGCTGTGGACAGTTTTAGCACTGTGAAATCCTGTGCCTCTTAGGGTGCAGTTTGGTCCATCTGTAAAGAGCTGCAAGGATCACTGGAGAGGAGAACATCTGCACCTGGTAGAATGTGCAGCTCCTTCCATAGCAGTATCAGCTACAGGACTGCCTTTTCTCATAAAGTGAGTGCTTTTCATTTACAAACATAGTCCACCAATTTCTGGTTTGGAAGGGTTGGTCTAATTTCCTGTGCCTCTCTGAGAAAACCTCAGAAAGATTTGTCTCGTAAGACATCTGGCCAGGTCTAATTTACAGCACTCCCAGTGCTCAGTGCTAGCTTCCTCCCAGGTGGAGACCTTCACCCTATGCAAGGCTGGAAGCTCTACCATTTTCTACAAACTACTGACAGAGAGAGAAGTCGTCTGGCAGCCAGTGCTGAAGTTAAGATCCGTATGTTCTCCCCGCTTCCAGTCTGCAGAAAGTTAAATACTTGTTCATGCCATTACAATCTGCCCAGAACTGTAGTGTTTAACTCAGCAAGCCAGCATGTAGAAAATTACGTGTAGGAAAAAACCTGCCTACAAATGTTTGGGCAGTACCCTGAGGATACAGAGATAGTCAGAACAAAATGCTGTGCTTTCCTATATCTAATCTGACTTTCTGACAATTGACATCCTTTTAAAAGTACTCATCCTTGAAAGTAAGTCCTCAGCTATTCTGCACCCTTAAATAATCTCCACAAAATCAAAAGCTGAGATGGGGGAAATCATCATGTTAAGGCAGTTAAAGCATGGGAAGAACAAGAAATGGGAAATCAGGTGCTGGAAGGATGTTAGGGAAGAGGAACTGGGTTAAGGGACATCAAAGGCAGAATCATTCCTGAAGAAAATAGGGCTTTGGAGAAAACTTCCCCTCCTATTATCTGCACACAGACACAATCAATTGCTAATATATGGATAACACAAATATTATGTATATGAAAATACAGGAAATATGAAATGATTTATGAAGAGCATTTTTTCCCACTTGCTACCAATTCTTTAATTTTATACCAGGCAACGTCTTAGAGATAACTAAAACACTTGAGATGATAGTCATGTTTGATAAAATGAGTGCTAGTGTTCCTCCAATCAAGTGACATAGTGAGGATCACAAATCTTTAAGGCTTTAAGGATTTGAACAGGATGCTCACTCTAGGTGTTTCCAGAATATCTCACTACACATTACTCTCTTTAAGGGACATTTAAGCTATTGGGTTCATTAATGTGACTGTCAAATTAGAAGCAGACAGGCATAATACAATGAGTTAATTAATGCATTGAACCATGGGAGTGATACTCACTTTAACTGAAATTCATCATTTGTCTGTGATCAAAGTCTTTAACCAGCAATTAGGTCCTCTGTTGAGTTGGTATATGGGAAAGGTTTATTATGCCTCAGGAATTAACATCCTGGTCAAAAAGATCATCTTGAACAGTGCTCAATCCTCTGAGATATTGCTCTATAAATAGCCTTATTTTTAAAAAGAGGTTTGCTTCTGCTGTGGACACCATCCATTCCAGAAAAAAGTATTCTTACAAATATCTGTGAGTATAAATTGTTGGCAGGATATAATTTTTTGTAATAAATTATTAATGATCCTATTATTAATGATTCTATTTTTCTAAAAAGATGTTATTTCATCTTATCTGCCTTCGCCTAATTTATACAGGTGTGAAATAGTCAGACACTAAAAGGTATTTTTACTATTCCAGATTATTGAGTATCTCCTTATACCAACTATTGTTTTAATATTCATTACCATTAACGGCCAGATTACAGGAATACTCATGCAGCTCTAAAGTCTTCCAGTACTTTTGAGGTTATTTTTATAACCTCACCTGGATAATCTAGAGAGTTTCTTGTTTGGTTGTTCCAAAGGCCTGCCCAGCATACTGTAATGAACATTCCTGTTCAGGACAGTTAGATGTAACCTTTTCAATGACTTTCCTGTTGGTGATTTGTTTTGTCCTTTGGCATGTATATATTGCAGTTTTCAGATATAGGGTCCTTAAAAACTGACTGTCAGAAACCTTGACAAAGAGGAGGAAATTTCTAAAATATAACTAGATCACTACATGAATTTATTTGTGAAATAGTAGGATGTTCTTTAGTTTGAATTTGTTTCCTCCCTGCAACAGCTATTCAGCTGTGCTTTTAATTTTATTTTTCACCTACACGTGCAGTTAGTTTTTGGTTTTTGCACATTATCCATTGAAATGAAAGCAGTATGTATGATTGTTCCAGGCAACTTGACTGCACAAGCCATTTGTCCAGGCTTCATGTGCTATGTACAGCTCAGAATGCTTTCTTCCAGCACATATTTTTCGAAACATTGCCATGCTCTGCAGATAAAACTGCTGTTCTAGTAGCTCTCAAATTTCTCTATCCTACCTTTTTCTTAAAAGTTGAACAGAAATTAGATATTAAATAAGGAAAAACCTAAGTCCCAGCATTTATGGAGAGATTTGTTTGAGCCCTCATAACTGCAGCATTGGCTATTCTGTTAAATACTATTTTAAGTTTCTTTGGTCTGATGTCAAGATTCCACTGTGTATTAGGCAGAATAAGACACAGAAGAGAGAGAGATTTTCCTTTAGAGTTTATTATAATACAAGAAAAAAATCTAAAAAGCACATGTTTCATGGAGCACCATATTGTAACAAATTTTACTGGCTCTCCTACAAAGTGTATTTTTGACATTTAAACAATGACACACACATAGTCAGTACACACAAACATCTACACCCCAGCACTCTCATTAGTGGCCACCAAAGAGACCTTTCAAATACAGAGGCACTAAGGTACACAGATGAATGCAAGTGTGGTGGCATCTGAACACCAACTGAGTTAGTTACTCTTTTGTTAGTGGTCTTCATAAGCACACAAGCGTTCATCTCTTACCCTCATCCCTCCTCTCCAAAGCCTCTAAATTGGGCCCATAAGCTCACTGAATATGGATCCAGCACTCATGGTGTAGAGTTCATCAAAACTGGCCAGCATTCCCTACCTGATACCTCTTATTGCTTTGGTTATAGTACTTAATGAAAGTCTTGAAAACCCTTATACCCGCACTCCATATCACAGAAAAGCCACTTTCACACATACAGAAACATAACCTCCCTCCCCACGCACACCTGAATGCATAGCACTGATACGTTTTGAGAAGCTTTGTGGATTTTTCCACCGAAATCACCTTCATAAAAATGATTGCATTTTGTTTTTCAAAGTATTTAGACAGTCAGTCAACAATATATATTGGAATAGATACTTTTCTTTTTAAAAGGCAGGACATAGTTTCCTGCTGCCTTAAATTTATGTCATTGTCTACACAAGCAAGAGCAAAATGCAATCATTTTCATCTGTACAAAATGTTTTACATTCATTTTATACAGTGCTAAGTAATGATATTATGCACAAAACAACGTAGAGTCATAGCCCAGAATAACTTCTAGCTTGCTGGAAATGAAAGAAAACTACTGGAAGTTTCCCATTACTAATGTAGAGACATAGTATTGGGGTCTCTATTATATATATTAGCCTTCCAGAATACTTTCAGGCACCTATTGTATGAGCTATTGCTCAATATGTATGCCATACTGAAATATCTCAGATAACACAGTTTAGTGCTTTCAGACAGTGAAAGTAGGAGACAAAAGCAAATCCAGCTTCACAATGGATCAGATCGGTTGTGCAATACTGTGCTAGCAAGGCAGCAAAGCTTCTGCCTGGACCTGAAACAACGCACTGTTACAGTAATTTCAGGTATCTGACATATGTCCATTTCTGTCATTAACTGAGAACAATGCATGAAGTATAAAACTTAAAAGTGTATTCTTTTTGTCAACAAAAAAATGAAGAGCTTGTATTTCTATCAGACATTTGCAAAAATTTTTTTTTCCCTCTAAGCCCATTTCTATTGAAAATATTTTCCCCTGCCTGTTGACCACAAATTTTCTGGGGAAATTTAAGGATTTACAAAACGTATTCCTGTCTTGATAACCACTGAGGCTGAACCATCTTTAAGTTTTGGGCAGGGTGAGGTATTCATGTTGCCAAGAAAGAAATGAAGTTATTCTGCATTTTTTCTTGTGGAAAATCCTTATGGATTTCCTACTTACAGAAGCCAATTTTATAATTCCTTTATACTGTGTGATGAACAGGCATCTATGAATGACAAGATACTTCACTAAGAGAAAATAACGGAAATCTGAAAAGAAGGAGAAAACTGACATAAAAAAAAACCCTGTAACTTTAGATATGTAAAAGGGTATTAACCAACTGAATTACTAACTCAGAGTCCCTCCTCTGGGCAAAAGGTATGTTTCAACAGCTATGTTAAACATTTGGCTAGCATTTCCCTGATAAACAGTTAACACTTCAAAAGTCCCAGCACGATGGGGAAAATAAAAGAGAAAGAGAAGACTTACAAGAGTAAGTTTTGTGAAGCATGTGGAGTTGCCCTGGAGTAATAAAGTTTCAGGTAACTGAAGAATAGAATAAGTCTAATACGGAAAAAGATGATGATTTTGCTGCACACACCAGTACGTATTTTCACTTAGAATAATGTCTACAGCTTTACTCACCTGAGTAAAAGGACAGTGTAGGAAAAGCAGAAGAGATTCAGAGACAGACAAAGAATATGGACCTGTATAAGAATGTAAAATATTGTTTGACTTAAGAAACAAACAAGAACTATATCATTTCTATATAAATTATAGAATCACTGACATAAGGAGTAAAATAGGGATCACTCCTGTTCAGGCTGCCTTCGCATACAAGAGCAAGAGATGTGAACGACATTGAAAATCAGCCAATTTAAATCTGACAAAAAGTTGATTTTCTGTTTTTTCTTTGTTTCTCTTCATTTTTGAACAGAATGTGTCTGACTTTAGACTTCATCACCTCAAGAAATATTTTAAGTCCCAAACTTCTGGATCAGCCTCTCACAGGAACGATGAACACATCAACTAGCTCATTAGACAACACAAAAATCATAAGGACTGAAGCTATTGAAACTTCCAAAAGAAATTATTGGACCTTTCCCTGAAGCATCTGATACAGTCAGAGGCAGGGCAGTGGATTAAATAAACCAAGGGAACCTCTTAGGCTATGTTATTGTTTCCACGGTATTGAGTTAAAAAATTCAGTTATATATCCCAATTAGCCATAAAAATATATAACAAACTTCCACACTGAGAACTGAGTTACAGTAACATTAATGAATGGAAGGATAGAACGATTATTACTGTTGGCCTAACATCCAGTTATGTGTGTGTGCATATGTATGTACATAGATACAAATGTATACACATATATGTGTATGCATACATATATATGTGTACATATATCTATACAGATACACACACTTTCTGCCAAGCAGAGCTCACCAGAAGGTCTAAAGACCATTCTTTACCACTTTCTCTGATAAGCTTTACTGAACTGTGTAAGTGTGTATGTTTAATAGCGTGTGGAGGAAAATGTGAGAAGGAAGGGAAGTATGAGCATGATTATGTGAGAAGTCAGTCATGTTACCGTCAGTATTTCAGATCTGTGCTTGAAAATACATTTCCAAATGCCTTGCACATTGGCTAAGTTGACCAACAGCCAAACCAAAAGAAATATACAACATTGAAGGGGACATTGTGAAAACAAAAATATTTTTATATATGTTAAGTGTGTGTGTGTGTGTGTGTGTGTGTGTGTGTGTGTGTGTACTTTATATTATTTCTTGTGTTAGTACTAATATATCATATCTTTGATAACTGGGAGGATGAGAAATTAAGAGAACTAGTTTAATTTTTGCCACTTACCCTGTTTATCTGTTTCATTTTTCTGCCAAAGTTGAACAAAAACTTGGATAGTCCACCTCCTCATGTGGATTTTCACTTCTCAGGTCTAACTGTCTAGCTCATTGCAAACTTCCTTTTTCATTAGGCTTGACTAAATCATTTTAGTTTTAAAAGGACCTAAACCTAATGTCTATTCTAAATTGACAGTATGTCTTTAAACATAATTTAAAACACTTCTCAAACTCCTTCTTATGAAAATGCTGCCATCTTTTACACATATTCACATTAATTCATACTATTTGTCCTTACTACTACTGAGAAGGCTTCCAAGAACATGTGTGAAACGAATATACACTGTCACATCCAATAGCAGAATTGCAGTTAGTCAATTCTGAGACTGCAAGCTGTTTAACTTTCAGATAAACTAATCTAGCTATAAAGTAACTGCAGGTATCTAAGACAGTAAAAACCAGCATGACCACATTTAACAGGGTAAATGACTGGATAGATTTCTGTTTCAATGAGGTAAAGTTGTGTATAAATTCCCCCATCCCCAAAATACATCAGTACGGTCATTAACTCAAATAAAAATAAAAGAGAGTGAAAAATAAGTTACTTTTAAAAAAGCTAAAAATGAAATTACCCTTAAGCCTCTCGCTATTGTTTCTCTAAAGACAGAAAGAGACTGAGTTGGGGGAAGAGGAAAAAGAGAAGAAAACCAGAGAATATTGCTAAATGCACGTTGTCAGTTCTGAGAAATGAGTGTTGGCCTCAGCTGAGCTTTTGTCTCTTGACGCACATTCTGGATAGTTCTCAGTGTGTTGTGACAAATAGTCCAGCTTTTTCAATTTTCAAAGTGAATCAATGGGTTCATTTGATCTTCTTTGTCTTTTTGGTCCAACTTCACAGATTTTAACATCTTTCTCAACAGGCACAGGCCTACACATGGGTGCAAACATACAGAGAGAATTACATAGTTAATATGCTGTGCAGAGAGGTGTCCCTAAAGAGTATAAATCCCAGCACATCATGTTTCATCTTGATCTGAGCAGCCAGTTTGCATGCAGGGCGCATCACAGGTTCCTGTAGTCTCTACAGAAAAAGGACAATTGCCACACTCCACTGCATTTCTATGCAAATTCATTGCAAACCTTCTGGCTCCTCCCAGGTTGCTTGCATTGGCCGCAAGAGGGTAAGGAAGTGTCTCTGATGAAATGGCATGGCATTGCCTTCCCACGCATGGCATTGCCTTCCCACGGAACACCTTCCAGGAAGCAATGCCTCTGACTCACCCTCAGGCCAACACTTCATGCAACCGGCTCCTTCCGGAAGATGGAGCTCATCTCATCGTTCTTTCTGCTCAGCAGCAACACCTTTTCACAACAGCCTCTTCTGTTCCATAGAGAATGCAGGAATGGGATTTTTTTTCCATACAGTCAACATTTCTGTAGAGTTAACTTTTTGTTTTTCTCTTTTCCTAGTTTATGTTCATTTGACTTTGTTATCAAGTGTGTTCTCCTGCAGTCATCCAAAAGGCCTTACTCAAACCAGTGTATGTTTTCTGTTTTCCCTTTTACACCACTTTAAAGGGACACATCTGTTGACATATCTTCTGTAGAGAATGGATTTCATCTCTTGCTGAAGTTTTGTTCCAGCCAAATTCGAACCTCCTGGAGATTGTAGAAAAAGGGGCCTTTGCCTCCCAGGTAGGCAATTTTTTGTCTCTGCACAATGCAAACTCGCTCAAATGAAACCCCGTAGGCCACATTGGCATTGTTGTCCATGCAGTCAGCAACTACTTGGCATTGAGGTGGCAAGGAAAACCGCTCTAGGAGCTGGTGAGCAGCTGCACATCGGTCTTCCTGGTTCCTATGTTTCTTAACTTCAAATGAAGAAGGGGAGATTCCAGGGGCAGCCCAGCCATCAGATGGGTGAGCCTCATCAATGTAGACCAACAGAAAGTCAGCCACACCAGAGAACTCTTCCACCAGCTTGCTGAAGGCCGACAGCTGGTTTGTGAACGGTGGTCAGGTAGCTGAACCAAAGTTGACCACCAGTGGCCTCTCCGAGTTGGCAAAATCCAGAAGGTGGCATTTGGTTCCACACTTCCCACCAACATTCTTCCAGCTATTAGCACTTCCATCACTGCCATTGGCTACGTGGATTACACTGGAGTTTGGAGCTTCTCCTCCCAGTTTGACCTGAGAGCAAAACAAATGAAAATGTAAGAAGTTAGTGTGACTTGTATCCCCAGTGTCTGTTTGATTACTCTCTCTAAATAAATACAGTCGCCTGTTCAAAAACTACAGTTTACTCCTCACATGGAAACTAGCACAGGGATTCTGGATTTAGCAAATCTTCAAAAGCAGCAGCTTCAGGAAGTCCCTAGTCCCTCTAGAAGTCTGGAAGTCTCTACCTGGCTTCAGTCCTAGCGCGCAGGTGTAGTACTTGATTATTCTTAATATTAGAAAACTTGTCCTGAGATCTCTTTTGTCCTGTCCACTACAGACATGGAAATAGACTGTTTCCTTCCTCTTCACAGAAACCCTTATGTATTTGCTGATACTTATAAAGCCCCTCCCTAGTTATCTTTGCTTTCAGGCAGACTACCTCCTGTTTCTTTTTACTTTTTTTCCACTAGCCAAATTTTCTAGACGTATGAATTTTTTTCACTGCCCTTCTCTGAGCTCTCTCCACTTGCTCCACACCTTTCTTGAAGAGCAGTGTTCAAAACTGTTCGAACTGTTCTAAAACTACTTCTATGGAGTTTTTCTAACTCTGAGAAGGATCAGACAGTTAGTTCATGTGCCTCAGAGGCTACACCTGTTAATACGTGACAGGAGATGTTTGCTTTTTCAAAAACATCACGAACACTGTTGACTACTGGTGAGCTTGTGAACAGCTATAATGCCCAGGTGCTTTTCTGCCTATCTGGTTGCTCCCCGTCATGGATTTGTGCCCCTCAGAAGTCTAGCCTATACCTAGTGGTCCCATTGAATTGCATCCTACATTTTCAAGCTATTTTTCCAGTTCTTCAAAATTATTCTGCATTATATTCCTGACTGCCACAATACATGCAATACTTGCCTCTCAACTTTGAGAAGTTTTCAGATTTCATAAGTGTATGTTCAATTCCAAACTGTAGACCAGGAATTAAAATATGGAGAGCACCAGATCCAAAAGAGGTCTTTGCAGTACCCCACTTAATACATTAATCTGTTTTGACAATTGACCACTGAAGACTACACTCTCCAAAAGGTTTTCTAACTACTTCACAGTAATTACATCAATGATTGAGTAGCATATTTCCCTCTACTGCAATATTTCTCCAGAGGAAGACTGAGGAAAAAGCAGCAGAAAAACAGGAAAGTTTATATGATGGTTGAAATAGGATGAAGTTTTTTTAGCTCTAACCTCGGATCTAACCTGAACTCAGTAACAGTTGTGAGAAAGTCATTTTACTTGAGAGTGCTTCAATTTCCCTGCCTATAGATAGAAGACAGAATCTATGCGTCTCACAAAGGGAGTTGCCAGCATAAAGTGGAGCCTGCAGAAGGCTCCAAGATCCTTAGCTGACAGAAGCGCAAAATATTACTACAGATGACAACTAGTTTCTAATGAGCCTTGCCACAATAAATCTGCCCTTAACGTCAGGCTCTAGTACAATAATGCAGTTACCTTTTCATGTTTTCCTGCCTCTATCTCTCTCTATATCCTGTATATTTGATAATATCCAGAAGTGCTGTTTGGAACGAACATACAGGGCCAAATCCTGAAGTCCGTCATATTTTATTCATTTCTTTCTCAAGCCACACCCCTACTGAAGTCAATACAAGTTAAAGCTGAATGAGAACTCTGTAAAAATGAATAAATACCTGATTTTTGGTGCACTGTTCATTCTACTTTACTTTATCAGGTACCACTTATTGACAAGACAGATGGAGTAAGAATCACAGAATGACTGATGTTGGAAGTGACCTTTGGAGATCATCTAGTCCAATCTGCCCTGCTCAAGCAGTGTCAGCTAAAGCAGGCTATCCAGGGCTGTGTCGAGATGGCCTTTGAATACCTCCAGGGATGGAGATGCCACAACCTCTCTGGGCAACCTGTTCCAGGGCTCAGTCACCCTCACAGTAAAAAAGTATTTTCTTATGTTCAGACAGAATTTCCTGTGTTGCAGTTTGTGCCCTCTTGTCCTGTCACTTGGCACAATGGAAAAGAGTTCTGTTCTGTCTCCTTTATACCCTTCCTTCAGATATCTCTACACATTGATAAGACCCCCCTGAGCTTTCTCTTCTCCACACTGAACAATGCCAGCTCGCTCAGCCTTTCCTCATACAGGGACTGGAGCATTCCTGGATGCTGTAGTCCCTTAATCATCTTAGTGGTCCTTTGCTGCACTTGTGCCAGTAGCTTCATATCTTGTAGTGGGGAGCATTCCAGGTGTGGCCTCACCAGTGCTGAGTAAAGGGGAAGGATCCCCTCCCTCGACCTGCTGGCAACACTCTGCCTAATGCAACCTAAGAAGGCCTTGTGGCCTTCTTTGCCACAAGGGCACATTGCTGGCTTATGGTCAGCTTGTCCACTAGGACCCCTGGGTCCTTCTCTGAAGAACTGCTTTCCAGCAGGTCAGCCCCCAGCCTGTGTTGGTGCATGGGGTTATTCCTCGCCAGGTACAGGGCTTGGCATTTCCCTTTGCTGACCCTCATAAGGTTCCTCTCTGCCTATTTCTTCCAGCCTGCTGAGCTAAGTTAAGAGCTGAATGCTTAACTGATGCCATTGTAGCTGAGATCTGGCTCCTCCATTTCTTCCTGAGAAACCTGACTACCCTGAATAAGTCCACAGCTATTCATGTTTCAGCTCCATTGCATCAGATAAGCAATAGAAACAGAGTTTAACTAAAGCAGATTTTGTAAGATATTTCCCTTAAAGCTGAAGGATTTTAGAGCTAAATGAGAAGGTCTCGCAACAGATCTGCAGGGGATATAGATGTCATTTTAGCTATTTTCTGTGGGACAAATTGAGACACAAATGTTCTGCCTGTCATTCGGAGATCAGAAAGGGAGAGAGCCATAGCAAGAAAGAATGGCTGAGACCCATGATGTTGAGTTCCTGGTAATGGTACCACTCTCAGCAGGGGACTGTGCAGCTGCAACCACAGCACAGGCTAGGAGAATAAGCGATGCCCCAGGAAGGAAAGCCCCTCACAGCTCCTGGCAAACCTGCATCTGTAACATTAGTTATGTGCTAGAACCGTCATAATGGGTAAAAGTAGTCTAGTGTTTGACTAGACTAGTCTTCATGCCTTTGGAAGCAAGCCAAGTTTGAAATTGCTGTGTTTAGGGCCTGCTGGGCAAGTGGACTGCCCACTGAACTCAAGGCAGACAAAGAGCTTTATGCTAGCTTTCTAGAAGGAAAGATCTTTCTGGAGAGAGACAGTGACAAAAAAACTCAGGCTGTTTGATGTTTGTCAATGTTACAAGGGATTCACCTTGTAACATTTAAGAAGTGCTGCTACAGACTAATCATGATTGCTTCTTAGCAGGTACTAAATACTCTTCTTCTGAGCGGCTGAACATCTGCATCTCTCTGCCATTCTGTGGAGTAAGATAAGCAAAGCAGAAGTAAATAATGTTAAAGATCAGACATGAGCAAAAAATATAGTGGCCAAGACGTTTGGAGAAAATATAATCAACCAAGGGCTACACTGAACCCACAGGCCAGCCAGACAATTCAGCATTTTGTGGTAAGTTGGTGAGTACCAAACAAGGGCACATCACATAAAAGTGGCACAAACACTAGATCGCTCTTTGCCTAGAAAGCTTAATTGTTCTTCTACTACCAGTCCATTTCAGAGCTGGGTTGCCCAAAATATGTATTTTGGGCAAAGCATGACATGCAAGTATCTGTGCTGCACCCACTCTCTGGATGAATAATGGATTTCAGTACTTAGGAGTGTGTACTCACCCAGTCAAGGAAAAGAAGTAATAACATTTGATTTATCTCATAAGTCATAATTAAGCAAATCACTTTAAATTTCTGATATTTGTTGGCAACCTTCAGAGGACAAGAAAATTAAAGGTAAAAAGGACAGAAGAAAGTAAAACTGAACAACGAACAGAGCTGCTCAGAAGACAGCAACAGCTGAGCAGCTGTTTCCCCTGCTCTTCACTGTTATGACTGAAAATGCTCTGACCAACACTACAATCTTTAACTGAGAAACCACAGTCTGCTTATGCAAAAAGAGAAGCTAAATATTGTATGCTCCTCATTACCAAGTGTTCATTCAGGTCTACCAAATGTTTCTTTTCCTAGACAAGTTTGCAAACCCCAAAGGAACAGACTAATAAAGCAACTCCCATTGATGAACATTCACATGGGAATGCCCTTCAAGTATCATTTAACATTGATACCAAGGGTGGCAATGTCTTATATTATTCTACAAAAATGCAAGTTGGTATCCTTATTGATCAAAAAAACAGAGAAATTTAGGAACTAAACTACAAATTCAACTTACGTCACCTTATAGGGGTTTCTCTTTATTTCCCACAGCCATAAAGTAAGTCTCATGGCCGCAGGTTACCTATCATGTTAATTTTTGTTTCTAGGAGTGCTTGTGTTGGTTTTTTTCTCCCTTAATGAGACATCCTTGCCAAGCAGGCATTCACAAGGCATTTTCTGGTCTTGCAGAGGAGTAATTAGGTCGTTGCCTTGTTCTATGCCAGTGTCAGGCACTCCAAAATCCAGCCCTGCCCAGTCGTTAATGCTTAAACATAAGCAGCGGCATCTCCACTAATTGGTCTTGATGAAGCGCTGACGGACTCTTTATTTCTCCCAGTTCGGGAACAGATTGACACAGGATGACAATATCATCCTTGCTGATCATCTGCATTGTGAGCCTTGGCTATCTTCTTTGTTGTTACTTATTGAAAGAAAAAAATAGCTCTTGGAAAAGAAAATCAACACACACACACACAAAAAAAACCCATGTATTCAGCCAAACCGCTTTTGAAATCTTACACAAAGGCAGGCAAAATATAAATTCTGAGAAACAAACTAGCAGAATTTCCCTCACACGCGATCCAGCATTTCTATAATCACGTACTTATGTGCGTGAATATTCGGGCATGCGACGCTGGCCTTCTGGATCCCAAGCTGAGGTGGAAACTAGGCAGCGTGCAGGCACCTCCCTTCCATGCAG